TACTTTTTACCGGCGCATCGACAAGCAATCACATTTTTTCTACCGTCTCTCACAGTTTCACACTGCCCAAACAACTTGCTACCAGGATCAGATTTACTAAAACAATCAGGATGCTCGCTTTGACACTGATATGTGACCCGGTTATTGTAGATAAGCTTCTTCTTTACACAACAGTCGTCATTAGATGGTTGACGCTTGATTCTTTGCAAAACAGAACCTCTTGCAGCATCAATCTGTGTGGCATTCCAAGGAGACTGGGTGGAGTTGAGTAGTTTCTCCTTCAGACCTTGCGGCGAGCAACTTTTTTCATGAAGGAGACAGCAAACAGCAATGACAAAGATAGCAACCTTGTAAAAGAAATGGAATGCTCCGTTAAGTGTATCTCCTTGAACAGGTGTTGGTTTTTATTTCGAGTCTGCGGGGGGGAGGGGTAACATTCTAATTGTTACTGAATTATTTTATCAAATCTGTTTCGTCAAGTTAAAGATGTTTTTGTGGAAGGACTTATCACACTTCTTTTCACTGGCCTCACTCACAAAATGCCGGCATGAAAGCGCTTAAGATATTTTGAAAGAAATCATTCACCTGTTCAGAGAAATAATGTGTAATTAAACTCACTGCAGTAGGAATAACTGAAGCAGGTAGCATCTGTGCTTTGAACTTGACTTATCACCTGCTTCATACGAGAGTCTTGAAATTTTAGAGTCTATTTTCAACACATCGTACCTTAGTAAGCATTTTGGTCCTATTCTGAACTTGATTAACCCAAGGACAGTAAAGATCCTTCTGATTTCACTGCAGTATGAGATGATGTACCTCTCCTAGAAGCTGTTCCCTTATATAGTTTTTCTATCCACTGTAGACATCTAATTTCATTGATCATATATAAGCATCGTCCAAACAAAGAGAAGCTATTCTTATCAAAAAGATTTGTAATGGTTTGACTGAAATAAGCCGGCAATAAGATCGTTACAGTGAGCATTTAAGACTTGGGGACTCCCCACTTCCCTAAATATGCAACTTGCAAAAGGCTAAAACGAGGTTTGTTCTAAACAAAGACAAAATTTTAGCTGCGTCATGACTGTATGTTATCGATTGATTTGTATACTTGTAAACTTGCCCAAAATTTCGTCTTTCAGTCGGTTTCTTTTGTGTGAATTTCCCGTCACGAAACAGCCGAAAAGCAAAATAGAATAAAAAGAAACCTTCCAGTCAGATACAGTTCCGTAGGAGAAATAACTTTAAAATAACTTTCTTTTTTTTAACTGAAAACCACAAATTGTCTACTTAAACACCATTATTTAGACGTACGGTACTAACAT